ACGACACTTTATTGTAGTAAAACGTTAATTTACGTTTATTTCTTGGGTAAACGGGTGCATATGTTTCTGTATGCATCCTGTTGGTTCCATTTGCAAGTTTTACCCAAAGGCGAAGCAGACTCAAGCCTCTGTGGTGTTGTTTCTGTTACCTGCTAGCCTATGAAAGCCTCCAGTCCCGAGAGGAAACGAGAAACTCTGCCTGGCAGCAGGAAGGGTGGGATGTAAATGTGTATTATACAGGTACGTCACACTGATATTTATAATGAATCTGTTTTATGACCTTGATTTACAACCATGCAGTTTATAGATTAGTGCTTCCTCTGAGATTTTTAGCTGTTAGTTCCATATATTCTCCTGTGATTTTGACTGTGTGATCGCTGGAATCGCTCTAGATGTGTTTCCTCCTTTCCGCAAAATTAAAATTCGACCCTGTTTGTTTAAATGTTTGCAGTTTTGTTCATTTTATTTTAATTGGGTGTGAATAGGAACCATAAAGTGATAAAATACTAGTTTATTCTAATAAATATCTAAAGTTTATCGTGCTGTGACTCATTAAGGACCACTTAATGAGAGTGCACGGACACGGCAGCACGTTAAAAACAAATACAGGCCAGAACCAGCTCAATGCCAATTCATTCATCTGACTTTGTCTCTCCTCAGTGCCTCTGATCAGACACATGGAGTCTAGAATAATGATTCCCACCAAGAGTTCCCCTTTGCAGTGAGAAGACGAATAAAGACCGCTGGCAGCTCCACATGGTGAACTCTAAGATCGGATGTATCTCCTGGTGTTAAATCTACTGGATGAGCTGTGTTACATTAGTGTCTGGTTTCATATTTGCACTCCAGCTGCTTATTAAAAGTACACATACAGTGTATGAATTTTTGTTTGCGGATTCCAAACTCCTGATTTTTCACCCTCAAATGTTCAAACATCAGGATAAATAGAGGAAAACAAATGAAAGTGAAGTTAGACAGAGAAAAGCCATTTGTGGAAAGATGTTCATGAGTAAAATGTGTAGGTGTAAAAACATATGACCTGTTTGTGTTTTATTTAGCATTTTGAAGTAGATTTTTGTCATTTCTCCACTGTTCCGTTTTTGCTTCCACTCTGAGTTTTATGTGATTTGCATTGAAATCAAGATTGTCTTCGCTGCAGTAGGAAAAATAAAACAGGCAACGTTATTATGAGCTGGAAGAATTGTGTAGAGTCCAGAGGTAAAACAGGAAGTTTTAGTTCATAGTTGTCAAGATTTTCAAAATAAGACTTTCCTAAAAAGGCCTTCCAAGCAAGTTATTAATAAATGTTTGGTTATGTAAACGTAAAAAATTCTGAATCTGGTTTTGCTAAAAGTTGTAACAAAGGAAATCGCTTCACTGTTTTCTGCTGTCCTGTGCACGCTTCGGAAACGAGAATAAAGTAATCGCTGTGGTTAGCTGGACAGCTACATGGCAAAGTGATATTTCTAAATGATGTTTTTCCAGAATAATTTAACATGATTTGGTCTAAATTTTTGTCCAAGTTAATCATGTGATCATCATAAGATCGTTATTATGGAATGGTGACATAAAATTAAAAGAAACTGAGCAAATGTTTCTATACAGGTTTACTTAAATTAACAATCTTTCTTTAGTCTTTATTTATTTATGTATTTATTTATCTTTTGTGACTGCTACAGTATTACATTTTAAAGTTTTTCTCTATGATCCAAGATGAAAGAATATTAAAATCAAAATAATTTAATAACTTATGCATCAACTTCAGATTTGAAATAATAGATAACACAAATCTGTCACCGAAAAAAATTAAACAGAATTATTAAAGCATCTGAAAAAAAATTGTGGTTGAAATAAGTTTTGAAACAATAGTAACTTCCCAAAAGTCAGCCTTGTCACAACATGAAAAGTAGTGGCTAAATTTACATCGTTGGTTTTTCCAATCTCCGCACCAAAAAGGCTAATTTTACTTTTCAAAACACTCTTATTGTTTTGATTAATTAAAAGATCATTGCTAAACATGAAAGGAAGCGATGTGAAAAGCAAAAATAATTCATTAAATTTGAACACCGTGGTCACTTAAACAGTGCGGGATTAAATGAGGCGCAATCTCGAGCTTTTAATTTGAAATACCAATACGGAAGTTGTGTTTCAGTAAAACTCTTCCGAATTCCGCGCCCCAGCGGAGCCGTAGCCCCTGTTTTTAGAGTACACGGCAGTTCAGCTGCGTGTCGTCGGATGTTTTTCGTTTGCGACGCGGCGGGACGTGGTGGCTTTTCCCGCCGTCGGTGGTGCGCCTCTCGCGGGTCTACATTTAACCCGAGTGAGTGCAGCTAGCTAGGGAGGCGCGGTCCCCGAGTGGAGAAACTCCGCTCGTTACCGACACTAGCATGGACTTGCACATACTGGACCACAGGCTCCGAGTCACCTGCATATCCAAGAACGGGCTGGCGAACTTCACACACGCTCTCATTAAACTGATATTCCTCCGGAACAGAACGCGGTGAGTACAGCAGGCCCGGTGGCCGGGAGTCGCTGCTGAATCAGAACCAGAACCAGATTAGTAGTCCGGTACGGGTTGTTCACCCACTGTAGTGCAGCTGCTGAGCCATCTCTCTCTCTCTCTCTCTCTCTCTCTCTCTCTCTCTCTCTCTCTCTCTCTCTCTCTCTCTCTCTCTCTCTCTCTCTCTCTCTCTCTCTCTCTCTCTCTCTCTCTCTCTCTCTCTCTCTCTCTCTCTCTCTCTCTCTCTCTCTCCCCCCTGCTGACTTGTGTTCTCTTACGTCATACTTTGCAGGAAGAAACATGCAGTTTTGTATGTATTTGTTTATGTTAGAATTTGGCGCACATCACAACACCCAACACACACATTTATGATTAAATATAAACATGTTGGCCGGTGATGTATGAAACTGAACCGATTCTGCTAATGAGGCTGACGCTTGACCTGCCGATACCGATTTTTCCCAAAGAGTCATAGCTTTATTATTTTCCAGAGGGAAGTTGTACAGCACACGAGGAGCAATAAAATAGGTCAAGGGTCGAATTCCATGAATCCTGCAGCTCCAGGGAAGAAGCTGTTTCTCATCCTTGTTGTCCATGCTTGATCTTCTGCCTGAGGGAAGGAGGGTGGACCGCTCTTTATGGATCTGTTGTATAAATTTCTGCTTGAGAAGGGACGCTGCTCTTGGTCACTTTTTGAGCAAACCATACCTCACCACTCGCTGCAGCTTCAGACACGTTCCTACACCAATGGAAAGTTTCAGGAACTTTTCCACCACTCACCAGGAAAAAGAAGTTAGACCAGCATTTTTCTCATGAATTAGAGCCATTGTTGAATTTTTAATGATGCCCACATAAAGGTCAGGGGTCATGTGCAGACCCAAACGTTTACCAGCTTGTACAAGCACCTTCGTTTCATCTTTGCTGCAGTTTATTTGCCTCACCAATTAGCAAGCTCCTCTACTTCCTCATGACACTCCGTGTTGGGCATCAAACCAGCAACAGCGGCGTCATCTGCGTACTTCACAGAACAATTGTGGGAGTTACGTGAACAATAGGGGGCCCAGGATACATCCTTGCAGAGAGCCGGTAATGAGACGATAACAGAAATGTAGAAAAGCCAAGAAACCGTTAATTTATTGTTTCCAAAGCTGTAATTAACTAAGTTATATTTTTCATTTCTGGTTAACTTGAAAATCACGATTGTAAAAGGAAATGATTAAAAATGGAAGATCTGATGTTGCTGGTGTGATGAGTTCATGGACCAGTAATAATGTTGGATTTCCTTTATTACTGCCGGGGAATGGTGCGTTCACAGACCCAACGGCCACTGTTTAAGCCACTCAAGCTGAATTTTAACTGAATCACGTCATTTTCTAATATTTGCCTTTCTTTAAGAAATTAAACAACCCAAATCTGAAACGTTGCGTCTCTCCAGCACAAAGTCGACCTCCTTTGCTCACAAACCTACTTCCAGTTTACATTTCATCCACGTTCCACGAAGGCATCCGTTTAGGGTTTTCCAGTTAATCCCTGGACATCCTTCCATTGTTCCGTCATTATCTATTCCTCCTGGCTGTCCCGCACTCGCACGACAGGAGGAAGAGCTCCACATCTGGACACCACTGGTGCTCTCGTTCTGACCTGCATAGCAAGTAAATGTAAACGCTAACGTCTCACACACACACACACACACACACACACACACACACACACACACACACACACACACACAGCTACGTGCTGTTAATATTAGCCACACCAATGCCCTTAATCGTTTGCCTGCGTAACTTTTTGAAATTGTCGTCTTCCTTCTGAGCTAGCGTTGAGTTACAGCGTTAGTTCTGACATGTCTTCAACAGCAGCATCCGTGACACACACTTCAGTCATGCAACGGCTGCAGGGGCAGGTTAACGGGGTCGGGAAGAGATTGGGCAACATTTTTCAAACATATTTAATTATTACCACAAGTGAGCCTGCACTTTCTAGCTGAGTGAGCTTCCTGTGTCAGACAAATGTCCGGTCGAGTCCATCCTGACCTCTCTTCCTCTCCTTTTCTTGGCTGTTGCTGATGCTTTAATGTTGCATCATTGTGCTACGTTGTGGATGTGTTTTGCCTTGATTTTCCTGTTCTTATTCCATAATGTGTGTGTGTGTGTGTTTCTCCCATTCTCCGTGCAAAAACAAGTCCGCTGCAGCCCGGATGGCTTCCCAGCAGTCCGTTCCCTTTTTCCAGGCCTCTTCTATTCAGTAAAGGACAATGCTGACGGCCTCTCTGAGAAGAATTTTACTGAGCTGATCACTTACACTAGCGCTATAGCTGCACAGCATCAGGCTTCCAATGAAAATGGAGTTGTGGCGCATAAAATAAATAAAAGATGGAATTAAAAGTCTTAAGTTTTTAGATTTTAGTTGCTTTACGGACAAAGCAGCCCAACCATCAACGGCCGGGATCATCCCTGCAGCAGCTCTGCAGGAACCAGCAGCTCTCCGTTGGCGGTTAGCTGTTAGCTAACATGACCTGTAATAACTAGAGATGCTGAAAAAATCGATTCAAGTCTGAATCAGGATTCTTTTTTTAATAAAGATTCAGAATCGATCCCAAGAACTGAAATATTTGGCACGTTACAGGTCTGAGATGCCTTTTTTTTGGTCTTTGTTAGGAGAGTCAGTACTCCGATTACTTTTGTGGTCCCATAAACTGATGATTTATGTTAGAATCTGCTGATAAGAGGACACGTGAATGTAATTATTTCCAGACTCAGAAAATTTGAGATATTCTCATATTTATTTTCTAAGTTGATAAATGAGTACTCAGGATTACTCATGTAACTTGTTTCTACACATACTTGAAAAGTATCTGACCGTATTACTGTCAAAGCTACTGTTAGGCAACTACAGATGTGTTATATTTTACAAGGTAAGCAAAAATAAATGTTGCTTTTGGTTAAAAGATTGTTTCCGTTTACAGTTTTAGAATCACTTTAGTTTACCTTGTAAATTAGCATCTTTGGAGCACGACCAGTTTAGTCAAATAAAAACGTCCCGTAGCTTTAACTAACTTGTACAAAGTAGTTCATCCTGGAGCTGACACTCTTTGTTAATACTGATTGTGAATCGATTTAAATCAAGAATCGATTCTGAATCGAATCGGCACCCCGAGAATCGGAATCGAATCAAATCGTGAGTCGCTCTGAGATTCACGTCTCTAGTAATAACGCGTCACTTTTCCGCCTGTGTGCTTCACTGATGGTTTCACTTCTGCAGATATCTCACCTTAAGAACTCGACCGTCCTCTGAAGTGACTAAGGAAGCTCAGAGTTCTCTGTCTCTCCGCTCTTATCGTGTTTTCTCAGCTGGAACATCCGTTGCGTTCCCCCCCCCCCCCCCCGCCGTTACCAGTAGCAGCTCTCCGTCTCCAGCCATCGCCACCACCCATTGTCTTCTTCAGCTCGATCAAAGTCCAGAGTTGGGTGTGTTCGGTTTTCAGCCCCCCCCCCCCCCCCCCCCTCGTCTCTTTTGCTTATTTTCTTTTCTGCTTCGGAGGGCGGAGGCTGTTTTCCTGCCCTTTACCACCAGAGATGCTACAGCAGTGTGTTACAGAGAGTTGTGCAAACAGAGCAGCACGACACGGGCCCATCAGGACTATCGGAGTATTGTTTTCTGGTGTTTACAACAGTTTTCCTACTTAGTTTTTAAGTAAAGATAAAGCTGAAGACTTTTTTCATCTGACACGCTCACTTTTGATGCTGAGCAGCTTGGTCTCTGATAACAAATCACCTGCATTTACAAACAAGTTAACAATAGGCAGTTTATAAAGTTTTTCTCTCAAACTCCAAATTTTTTTGCAACGTAATCAATTTTTTTTATTTGCATAATTTAATGTTCTCAATTTACGCTCAGATGGGTCTTTGAAATATTTTCCAGCAGAATTCCAGCTTTAGATGTTGTTATCTGGAACAGGGTTATGCTGATTCTATTAAAGCGAGTCATCAAGAGACTCATGAACTAAAGTTTGCAGATGAACTGTTCAATAGAAATAATGGTGCATTTCTACACATCAGGGGCCTCATTCATCAAGCTAGCTTACGCACAAAACGGGGTCGGAAAACTGCGTAAGCAACTTTCCACACAAACTTTGGGATTCATGAGAAAAAACTTAGCAGAAAAATGTGCACAACTTTAAGTTGACTAAGGACCTGCCTTACACACATGCTGGACATGGAGAGCACCTGCAGTGCTGCTGCTGAGAAGGATAACATTATGAAATCCTGCAGCATTATCACTTGTACTGCTTTTTTTTCACACAGAACAAGACCCCCCCCACACACACACACACACACATGCACGCACACACATGCGCACGCACACTCACACACACACACAGCCTGAAGCGCAGAATACAGAATATCAGCAGGGGGACAGATTGAGACAGAACATCATGCGTGTGTGACGGTGTGTGTCCTGTCACTGTGACCCGATTGATCATGCGCCCTGGCTACTTGTACAGGGGAGATCTCCGTTTGGCTGACTGGTTAGCGTGTGTGACTTTCACCCGGGAGTCTGGGGATCGAATCCCGATTGGACCATTTTTTATATCCGCCACAGATCTCTCTGAAGAACTCACAACATTGACGGCTTCAGCACCGCTGTGCCACTCCGTGGATTTTCTCTTATTTGTTTTGCAAAAGCACTTCCTTTCATTTCTCCACCTCACCCACAGGTACCTCAACTTCTGCTTCTGTGAAATAGCGCTTCCTTGATCTGCCTTGATCTACGGTCACCATGTCATTGGCGGAGCGCTGCAACAGCCGGCTTATGTATATGCATGAGGTCCACAAGGCACTTTGCATTGACTATTTATGGCAGTAAGTGGGCGTGGTGAGGGCGGGATGTGACTAAAATGCAGCTGAGAACCTTTCTAGATAGTTTCTGATTTATGAAGCGGAGGTCGCGTGCAGCTGTGCGTCCTCCATGTTTGATAGATCACGCACTTGCTTGGC